TTTAAAAACTTGTTCAAGCACTTTCTCAGAAGTGCTGTTTATGTCTCCATAAATCAGCTGATCGATTATTTCGCCGGCTGATGGCCTGCTACGACTAGCAGAGGCGTATTTTTGGACGACTGAAGGGTCGAGAGGTTCTACAGGTACTAAAGGGATTTGTGAGCTAATCAGATCTGCAGACGGCGAAGAACATACGCTGGCGTCTGCCATGTCTTCAGTCACGATTTTAGCACCCAGAGACTGTGGGGAGGCCGCAAGCTTTCGCCTTTTAGCACGTGCTCTGCGGGGCATTACAGACAAAAAAAGTTTTTTTCGTTACAGAAGAGGGATCAAAACGGAAACACGCACTGAGTAGCAAGTATTACTGTTTTTTTTACTACGAAAACTAGATAGCGGTAGTAGGGAAACGATTCACTACAATGGATTTTTACAAAATACGACTATTTTGCCAGACTGTCAAACAAACTGGGAAAAAATTTTACCTTTTATAGAAAGGCGCCTTTTAAAACGGACTCAAGCAAAAAACAGGCATTAATTACTTAAGAATATCCAGATAAATGCAGAGCTTCACTTATCTTTGAAATTATAATTAATATCCACCGGCACCACCCCCCAGGGCGTAAATGGATACTGCAGGGCGGCGTATGGCCAATGAAATCCCACAACTCTGGTCATTTGATAGTTTCACCAATGAAGATAAATATCACTAATAAATTGCAATGAGGGCGACTGGTCATTTGATAGTTTCACCAATGAAGATAAATATCACTAATAAATTGCAATGAGGGCGACTGCAACTATGTGGGCGAAACTGGGCGGAAATTGCAAACTCGCCTACAAGAACACAAATCGGCCACTCGGAGGTTAGACCCTAACACTCAACTAGCAACACACGTTGGTGAAACGGGGCATACTTTTGACCTCCAGAGGGCTACCATCTTAGGCCGAGGCAACACAAAAACAGAACGGCTAACTCTCGAGGCGTGGTTCTCCGATGCCCACTCTATCAACAGGCATCTGGACCTTCCTGCAGCTTACAGAGTCCTACGTCATCACAACCGTAGAGCTCAGGACCAAACAACCACACCGGACTTAAGAAGACAGCACGGAGATAGCCCGACGCTGAGCTTACTCAGTGAGGAAGAACAAGAACCGCCAGACCGACCGCCCGACTAAAGTCCAATCAGCTCCCCTCGACGGAGTGGTGACTTATAAAGCGCACAGGCAAAAACGCCCGTCAACCATTTCCTGAGAGGCCGACGCAGCGTGACGAGAGAGAAAAATCGATCAGCATGAGGCCGGCCAACACAGCTTGCCACTTTAGATTAACTTTCTGATCGATTAGGTGCAGTTTACGCTTTGACAATGAAGAGTCGACCCAGCTCTTTGAAACGTCAGCAGTTAAATAAACCTGTTCCGGAGAGCCAATTTTCTTCTTCTAATAATCTTCCCGGATCTCTAAACTTTTCCAATCTGAACAAATATCACTACGTTGAAATCGGTCTCCGACCATAGCAATTGCCCCTTTATCCATAGAAGGGACGCTGAATCGTCGTCCGTGTTGTCCAGCGGGCGTCCTCTCTGCATGAATGACAATCTTGTGCGTGCCACATAGAATCATGGTAATTGCGGTTTTGAAAAAAACGCAGTAAGCTGGTGTGTTCGTGAAGGAGCTCTTGCAGTTGACAAACCATGAACCGTTTAATTCCGGTGGAAATTCCACAGCGTGCATTCAATTCGTCATCACCAATGACGTACATTTAGAGGAATTTGTGTTGACCCTCTTGGGGCGGAAGAAGGGAGCCGACTGTATGATAAATTTGTCCTTTCACTTTGAAAGTCGGCATGAATTGACCTGTCACGATACCATGCGCCGAACGACGTCGTTTGGAAGCAGTGTTTTAAATCGGCCACTCTCAGTTTGTCGTATTCATTCTGTCGAGAACTGGATTGCCCTCCTATCCTCTGTGGGAGGCGGAGCAATCGTTGACTGCATCCAGTCGAGCCCGGAAATCCCGGACGAATGTGTGTGCAATCTTTAACTATGTTATTGGGGCAACTCGAAGTGGCGGCCAAGACTTGCAAGTCCTTTTGGGGAAGGAGTGGGGGGTGGTTTGCCTAGCCGCCCATGTTACATTTTGTCGGAGAGGGAAGACGTGTTCAATCTCATCCAAGTAGTTATTATCGCCGGCCCGTGATACCGACTTAGAAATTTGAATAACAGTTGATGTCTGCAATTTTCTATGAGGGAATAACTGAAATGTCGACAGTACGCAACCTGGTACATTTTGTAAGTGCATTTGTAGACCGCCTGTTCCTGTTAAGGTGGGGTTATTTAGTCGACTTATTATTTTCTGGAGTAGATAAGAGGAGGTAACAACAGTGTCTAAAAGTTCACCTAACGTGAGTGAAAGGAGCTACTTGGTTTATATCCGGGAGTAAGACATTGCGCAAAAAATGCCAAAATTTCCGTTTTATTAAAAAGGCTGGTAAGAAGACCTTTCCTAACATCTATCAAATGAGGAACATGATGTGCATCCTTGAGAAGGACTTGCTCTCGATACTTTGTACAAAGTTTAAATTACTGAGGACAAGGGATCTTCTTCTTCGTAAAGCGTTCAAGACGCATTTTGCAGGCTAATTGAGAACTGTAATTGAGAACTGAATTACTGAGGACAAGGGATCTTTTTCTTCGTATAGCGTTCAAGACGCATTTTGCAGGCTAATTGAGAACTGCACTGACACTGATAAGAATTTCCTGCTAACCGAGTGAGTTAACAAAATTGTTGGTTATGTCGACAACTAAGGGCCGGCAGACTAATAAGGTCCGCAGTGGACTGAGATTTCTAAAAAAATACATGTAAAATGCAGAAGTAAATTATTACGCTATTGTTGCTAAAATGGTTTAACCTGATATTAATAAAAGTTGAACGGTTGTATTCGTAAAGGTCAGATGACAAATGCGCGGTTTCATGGCAAAAGTCTGTCAGGAGAGAGCCTGTAATCGTCACCTCATGCATCTGGACTACGGTAGTTAAATATGAATGGGTCTAACTCACTGCTTGTACAAATCTTCAAATCGACCACTGCTATGCATTATGAGATTCTATGTGATCAAGCGAAGTGGGACTTAATGAGGGGCTAACGTAAAGGATACATTCTCTATCAGAGCGATCACCTAGGCCATCTGCCAGGAAATGAGGAAACCACCAAAGGCCAATCTCGAATATAAGATTTCATGGTAGTCACAACACATGGGCCCTCACAAGCTAGAAATCGCTTTCATCCCTGCGGAACTATTTCGAAATTCTAATGCATTCGTAAATTTGCAGAACAGATACTCTTGCCTATTATGATGGGTGGATTTATCGGAACCTATAGCGAACAAAAAGATCTCGCGCAGAAACGGATGCGTAACATATTCTATCCACAAACATTAAATGCACATATTTCGACCTTTTCATGTAAATCGGTTTGATTGAGTAATGGGACCTTTCAAATATGTTTTCTGCGTTAGTTTAATAGGCCCACCACCTATTCAGACTTTCCGGGCTCAAAGTAGGCAAGAAGTTTACTCTTGTGAACCGCTGTACATCCAATATAATACCAAATTTTATGACAATGACAGCGAACCAAGTCGCCATGGCCACAATGGCTCATAGCATGTATAACACGTAAATGTGCTGGGCTGTCGAAACACTGCATATAGGGTGCCTAACTTGTAACAATGGATTTGTTTCTTTGAGAAAAAGCGCCCGACCCCAAAGCGAGGAAGTTTTTATGGGATACGAAGACGATCTTAAAGGGGATAACGTCGACTCTTCGTTCTGCTGGATCCAGGTTAGTTCTAATAATGGGGTTGGCAACCACAAAAGAGTCCCCTATTCCGCGGAGCGTGCCTACTTTCGAGTAATCTCCAAACTTTTTTTAGGTAAGTGAATAAGAATACTCTTGCCTCGAAGACTTCACTTTAGATTGATTTGTCTAAACTGAAATTAAGGCGGGCGAAGGGGATAGTATAAAAATCTTTTGTAAATTTTCGGTTGTTCTTCTCTCTCTCGGCCCTTCTACGCACTTTTGGTAATGAAGATCAGGAGAGCATCTCACAGCAATAGCTGGTACACGGGGGACGGTAATACACGCTTTTCAGTTATCTTGTTTAGCTAGGGAACTCAATTCTCAGCTTTCCACCTGGCTTAATAATGCTCCTGCTGCACACAGTCCGGCAAAGGCGATAATCTCCCCGTATGAGCATTTTACTCTTTCTTAAACTTTAAGGCACGCTGGATACTCGTATTCGGGGCCGTGCGCGGCCCATGCCTTTAAAAATATCAACCCCGAAACAGTGTAAGATTCCGTTTTTCTAACATAAAGAGATCGCATATTTGTCCTTGGACCGTCACATCATCTTTATCTGAACGATTCATGCGCACTTACGGTTGCTGACTACCTGGAGACTCCATTATACAATCTTAAAGTGGATTCGGAAAGTAAGAATCTCATGATTTATCTCAGGTGTTTAGTTTGCAAGGCGCTGAAGAAGTCAGGTGAATTTGTCGACCTGAAACTGAGTGAAGACGAAGATGAACACTCTCTTGAAATGCAGTTGCCTTATGTAGCGAAGGTTATGGAAAAGTATGCTTTTATCGATTTTTCTAGAATCCGACGGTTTTTGGTCCGCAATAGAGACTATTTTAATGCCGACCTTTTAGTTCGATGTTCACACTACCTTTGTTGCAGCATCGATAGATTCCGTCTTAAATGCCAGTACATCTGTTCTACACGTGTCTAAAGTTAAGCTTGATGAAATGTATTTGGTAGACATCAGAAAAAGTCAGTTCCCAATCATGTTCAACCAAATATTTGTGCCCTCATGGAGTTCTGTTGTTGCGCCTTATGGCATTCCGAAATCGTTTACTACGTCTTGGTGTTTTGACGACTTCGTCCTACCGAAAATCCCAGCCGCGGTTTTGTGGCCATGACAAACGAAACGATTACTTTAAGACTCGTATGCACAAGGGAATCACTTGGTGCCCCATAGTACCTCTTTTCCTTAGAACATGGACGTAATACGTTTTTCACGAGGATTTACAATTTTCTTCCTTTGTATAGTCGAAATAATGCGTTCACCATCGTTCCGATCATGGTTGGGAGCTTGTCTTTTGAAAAGGAGCGCTTGTATGGAGAAATTCTAGCGCCCTATCTCAAGGATCCGCGGACGCTTTTTGTGATTTCCTCCGACTTCTGCCACTGGGGTATTTAATATTTTCTAGGGCGTTTCGTCCCGGTTCTCTGGAATCTAACGGACTTCTCTTTTTAGGGAGTCGCTTCCGATACACCTACTACGACGAAAAACATGGTGAGATTTGGAAGTCAATCAAGAACCTCGACAAAATGGTACTCCACCATAATTTTAGATTGTCCTTTAAGTTTATTTTCCTTTTGGCGGTGTGTATTCATCGTCTCCTCGCTAATCCTATCTTCACCTTATATGCGCTTGCGATTTGTCTTATCTTTTATTTTCACAATTATGATGTAAAGTAAGATTTTTTAAATTGTGGCTCTTCCGAAAATTATTAGGCTCCCAAAAGTCGCGCGTCCTCCTGATAACATTGTTAGCGCAGGCCCACTAAGCAGACTGCTAATGGCAGTCAACCCATACGTCGCACGCGGGCTAGTCTTTAACTGATTATGGCACGGAAGTCCACTGAAGCGAAATCTCTTTTGGGGGGTCTTGATTTGATGTGTTTCTCGCAATACCACATAGACGGGTTTCCATCCGAATTCTTTATCTGACGGTAGCGTTTTTTGAGCAACGTTAAGCCTTACTTTCATTGACCCAATTTCATAAACTATTCATTTGTTACCCTATAGTGAACCAAAAGTGTCTTTATCCTTCAACAGGGAATGGACTCGATTGAGACAATGAGTCCACAAACATTTGACGCCTACATGAAAAAGTACAGAAATACCATCTGCGGCTGTCATCCCATCGGCGTTTTACTACATGCCATTGACGCACTGCACAACTCTCAACAGGGTCTATCTTTTTCTCTCAAATTTGTGCAATATGCTCAGTCAAATAAGTGCCTAAACGAAAGAGATTCATCTGTGAGCTATGCAGCGGCCTCTGTGGTGGTCAACTAAGCTGCATCTGCTGTTCAGTTTTGCATGTTCGTCTTTATGGACCTATCTGTCACACATTTCTTCGCGCTTTATTATTTCTAAGCTCTGTGGATTTTCCCTTTGGGTGTCATATTCAAAACTAAATCAACCATTTCTGTTTTGTCCTTTTTCGCTTACCGCTAACGGTATTCTTTCGAGATTTTGACGTTTTTACGTTGTATTTGTTTTGACCCATGGCTGTTTTACACGGTCGTGGCAAGTTAAAACCCAAGTGGCCTGACAATTACGGATTGCCCTTGTTTGCTTGGCCCGCGTCGCATGTTTCTTGGCCAATAAATTGGCGATAAGGTTTCAGAAACGTCACAGGGTCGTTCTTTTTGAACATTTCGGAGTCCAGAAGGACCGCGCTACATCTATCATGTCCTTTCGAATTTCTCGTCACTCTGCTCACCTGGTTTCCAAAGTCTCATCATCGCATGGATGATTGGCGAAAAAATAAATACGTGGTGGAAACTGGTCGAAATTCTTTGTGAACTAGTCATTCAACCCACCCATTAAGCTACTGTGTGAGCTGCTATAGGCCCAGTCGGAGTAATCTGCGCGTTGTGTTGTTGAAGCTTCCAACTCCACAACCTAACACAGCGCATACTTATTAATACAAACAAGCTTAAGTTGGCCAAATGCCGAACTTTCAGTAAACTAGTCGAATCGCCAAGTTATATTTGAAGACTGAATCAATTAGCAGGAAAAGTAATTCGTGCGGAAGTACTTGTCTCCAATTATTTCACCGCCTGCCTAAAACGGGACAATCCCATCATTCGTATCAGAACACGGTCGCAAAAATGGTGTAGCGATCATCACTTCGAAAATTGTTTGGGCCCAGCTGGCTGACCGGTTAAAGTAGCTGCTACTGTTTGCCGGTGTCCCAATATCATTTTCATGATTTTCCGTTGAATTATGCTATCAGATGTCTCAAGGGTCTAAGATGGCTGTGAACAGTTGGGCTTTTAGGTGATATACCGTATAAGGGGTCATTTTCAGGCACTGGATTGCAACAGACTCCCAGGCGGTGAGGGGTATTCGGCATAAATGTGCCTAGGCCGGTGTCCTGCAGCGGCTCCGAAGGCTCAGACAACCGGGCGGTCTGGCTGCTTCGCCAGTTTCCAGGTTCTTGACTGCGACGAATGCAAGACGAGTAATTGCGTTTGAATCTGCAATTTCTCAGGGCTTGCTGATGCATGTAACCAGCCGAAAGTACTGGGCAAGAAGTGCATATTAGACGATGCGGGAAGTCATCTGCCGTAAGTCGGGTGATGCAAAGGTGCTCATCTATCTGATGAAAAGGGCGCACTCCCGGAAGGCTGAAAGTTTTAAGATGGTCTCTGGTCTGACTGCTGAGATGATCACCTGAATGGTAAGGTAAATAACTAAATAGCCCTCTAAGTACACGCTTCATTCACTCACAATGCGTCAATCTACGGGCATTGTAGCCGGCTGCCACCATCGCCGACACTGCAGGTGCTCATACAGTTAACGCTTTTTAATGTGCAACAGCCTAACGGTCGTCTTATCTCTTAGTGAATTAGAGCTCACTGTGCGAACGTATGCCTGTCTCCAGCTACCTTTTCACACTTACATTTTTAACCTCAGAAGTGGAAGAAAGTCTTGACGTCCATGATGCAGCCCCTGAATTTACGCCACCTCCCTGCGAAGAAGGAGGCACGATTGCTGAATAAGAGCTTTATTGGCTTGACGCTTCGGATTCTCACGCGAATCCATCATCATAGACAGTGTCAGATAAGGGTAGTGGATTGCTTAGGTGTTGCAGTATTTATAGGTTGTAGTTGCCAGGCCGCTACATGCCCCTCACAGTTGACAGCTTCCGAGTGCACGGCTCGACTGGACAGATGTTGAGGCATGTAGCTGCTATGCGCCTGTGTGCTGGTCAAGATTATCGGCTCCCACGTTCATTGCACACAGTCGAGCTGCCGATCGTCGGATTTCGTCATCCGTGTGGATTCTTGGGCAATCTGGCTCGCCGATGTTGACACCAGGAACAGTAGTCGTCCGCACGCTGTCCTCACGGTTAACTACTTTTCTTAGGCAAAGTCTCAGCGCCGAATATGGAGCGGGGAGTTCGTTGTGCTTCTTGACTGATTAAGGACCGGAAAACCGGGACATGAGCAGTTCGCGGCGCTCGCGGTTGTCACCTCTAATATGAATTTCTTTTTCGCCAGACTTGCATGTGTGATTTGATTCCGTTGAGTGAGTCGCGACGTGGAAGCTGGCGTCTTTCCTCCTCACTGCTGCCTCGTGCTCGGCCATCCGCGTCCGGAGTAGTCTTTCGGTTTCTCTGAAATAGTTGCTTTGACCGCAACCACACCAGTCCCGTTAATGGACTCCAGATGCCTCCTACCGCGGCAGTGGGGTTTCTTAGCCCCATGATCTGGCGCCCTATGGTTGCCTCCGGTCTTTGTGCAATTCCTATTTCAAGGAGTGTAAGAAGACGACTGACGGCTTTCGAGACCTCCTTCATGTACGAGAGGGCCCGCCAAGATTTGGAACCTGTTGGATTTCGTCTCGTCTCGTTTGCACAGGCTCTCGTCGACGAAGTTGTGCGGATAGCCACTCGCTCTTAGCACCCGTCGAAGGTACTGTACTTCAGCAACCTTATCTTCTGGTCCACTGTAGTGTATCTCCACACGCTAGTGTAGTGCTCTTACGCAACTGCTTTTGTGACTGATTAGGTGGTTTGTGTTGTAGCTCAGTACTTGCGTCGTCTTTGTCGATTTCATGAATAATTTGGTTTTCATGCCACCACAATCTTTGCGGCAAACGAGGACATTAAGAAGGGACGGCTGGTCGTTTTCCTCTTCCACCATCGTGAAGTGAATATCCAGGAAGACGGCGTCGAGGTGTTCATTAGATTCCAGCACCTGATCTCGTTCGATGTCGACGAAGGTATCACCCACATACCGGGTCCAGAATTTCGGTCTGTGGTTTTGGAAAACCCGCGACTCCAACCTTTGTAGGACCGCCTAGGCTATGAGTTCCGAAATCGGCGAACTCACCGGCGTGCCCTTCATCTGCTCGTAGACTGTTCCGTCGAACATAAAGTACGTCTTGAGACAGAACTTCAGGGGTTAGAGGATCTGGGCGTATCCAAGGCGACCCTGTTTCATCGCATTTGTCCCGTAAGAGTAGCTCAATGGTCTCTACTGCCAGGTCTCGCGGAATAGGAATAAAAAAAGGCGTGACATCAGAGGACACCGCGACGCTGCTTGGCAGCAGAATTACCCCTTTAAGTTTTCTAAGAATTGTGTTTGTGAATTGACTGTAATGTCTGACTTTACGCTTAGAAATTTGGGTTGTCGAAACTGCCATTTTGCCAGTCCGTAAATTGGAGTACCTTTGAGTGAGGCGAGAGCCGGATGGGGACATCCTCCTTGTGCACTTTGGGAAGGCCATAGATGCGGGCCAATGCCGTGTCCTGGGCTCTTACCATGCCTTGGTCAACCGGTGATATTGCACCCGAGTTTCCGAATGCTGACGGCGTCGCACTGATTTTTCGTGTCAGTGTTTTTACGGGGTTGGTTGCGCAAGAGGCGGAGGATAGGAGGTCCTTCAATAAACGCTTGGCCTTCTGAAGGTAGTCTGTCCTGTCCAAAACAACCATGGAACGCCCCTTGTCCGCAGGCACGATAACGAGGTCTTTGTCAGCCTTGAGTCCCCTTAGTGCGGCTCGTTCGATTTTGGAAAGTACTTCGCGCGGCCTGTGAGCCATACGGAAAGACGACACGTGGTGTCAGATAAGGCTGTTGGTCTCGTCTGTCGCTTCCATCTCACTGAAAGTTCATTCCACCGCTACAATTACTTTGAAAGGTTCGACATGAGCTGTGTTGGATGAAGCTTAATGCCGCAACGCCTGCATTTTATCCTTCGCCAGCTCCTTTGACGGCGAGTTGTGCACCAGTCTGTCGTTTTTGGGCGACGCTGGATTAGGCGGCCTTCTGAATTTGTTCTCCAGTGCTGCGTCACGTATTGATCTCTGTTCGCGTACACGCTCAGACACCCTCTGCAGGAGCAGATTCGTATCTAAATCGCCAGCGATCTCATGAAATTTGGTCTTCTCTTGGTCAATCCTCTGACGGTACTTGTGACGCCTGACGCAAGCACTTGACTAATTCTTCTGCCATGTTGAAACACGGCTCGTCTTACTAACTCCGTGTTTACCGGGGGTTTGTATGAGACATTTCTATTGCACGTTGATAATAGATCCGAAGGAAAGTCCGAAACGTCAGGCATTAAAGCTCTTATTCCAATTATCGTATCTCCTTCTTCGCGACTACTTCCTGGATCTCGCCTCTTCGTTTCTGTTAACGATCCCTTGGTTGCTACCGGTATTTCATGTGATAACTGGCGGAGGGGCCGGCTATCTAGATATTTAACTTGAACAGTTGGCAACTTTGTCATTTTCCGTGCATTGCATTTCAGTCGTTGAGTTGAGTAGGAAAGCCTAAGAGTCGTATAAGGTTTTCTGTAGGGAATGTTGGCCTTCAGCACCGTTTCGTATCCTCGACAGTATGCGATTACCCATGGCGGTGGGCATGCCGAAGATCTTAATAACAACTAGTCGATTCTCTGCGATGAAATACCGAAATGGAGTACTAATGTCTCGTTGGATGCCTTGCGAAATTACTTCGCTGAGTACTGTGATTAAGCATTGAAACTGTGCGGTAGCATTCAAATCCCATTGTATGACGCTAGAACTGCTAAAAAAATGTTTTTAATATCTAACGGTTAAACCGCACTGTTAGTATTTGGAGGGGCAACATTCAGGTGCTATAGCATGAGAGGTCCCGCCGGTAACTGTCTCTTAAGAGCATGTCACTGTAGTACAAAATGTACAGGTCGGCGAGTGGCGCCCAGATATATCACGAGCTTTCGGTTGCATGGCCTGCCTCAGCGTCCCTCATCTTTCAGCAGCCCTTGATGTCAGAAATGGCGAGAATCCGTTCGAGTACCGGTCCGAAAAAACCGCTCCATCTGCGTTCCACGGCACTGTTTGCGTTAGGGTTCAGTTGCATTATCCTGAACTTTCGGGGTACTAGACAAGACAGCTGATCAGCCGACGGAGCAATAGTTAAACGAACAGCAGACAATACGTTTCTCCACAAACTCATAGGCACTCAAGCCTGCCTTCATTTCTTTCCGAGCGCGAAGCCAGTCGGCTTAATTGAAGAAGAGTTTTCAATAAAAGACGTCTTAACAAATTAGTTAGTAATCCTGCGAGAGTTTATCAGTATCAGTCGTCTAGTTCAATCACAGTTGCTGTCAAACTTGACCGGATTCTCGGGAAAACCCTACACTAAGGTGACAGTGTTGAATTTGCACCCGGACACCGACTGAATGATCTCGAATATGCCGAGGTGTGGGGGGTAGAGGTTTGGCACATTCAAAGTCTTATAAAAAAGCCCTAAAGTCCGATGACAGCATTGCGACATGGCGACCGTAAACCGCCATTAAATAAGTTTGCTAGCCACCGCTACCTTGTGGTTAGGCTTTTAAGCCAAAGCGCTAGGGATGACAACCACGAAAAAACAATCTGAGTGGCTGTGGAGAACTCCCTGAATTCGAAATTCCCAAGAAACCTCATGAAATATGTCCGATCACAGTATTACGACCCATGCTACGGCGTCCGCGGAAACCGACGCGTTTCGCAACCCTAGTCCGGTGGTGTGGGCGAATAGTATGAGAGCTAGACTACTCAATCGGGGGCGGATTCTTGGTACTGGATTCTGGAATGTGCGAACATTCCGGGGCCCCGGTACCCAAAGTATCACCGTGCCCAGCCTTGATCAGTACAAAAGTGTATGTCTGCTGTCTGTCTGGAGTTCGACTTCCTGACTGAGGCCCCCGCGAAATAAAGATCCCTGAAGTCGGATAACACTTTACCCTGTACCACAGCGGCCCGCGCGATTCTTTTGTTCGACACGGTGTAGCGATCGTCCTATCGCAACAATCGGACCTCGCGCTACTTGCCTGGGAACCAATCAATGACCGGATGGCCTACGTACGACCGAAGGGTCACTTCGCGAACATCTCAGTCGTCTCTGCGTACGTACCAACTTCAGCTGCTGAACAGCGCGATAAAGAGACGTTTTACTCGCAGTTGCAAGCGTTACTTGAAAGACTTCCTCACCGCGATCTTCTAATTGTTGCTGACGATTGGAATGGTCGAACTGGACTTGGCGACCCCACAACCAGTCATCTTTTTGTTCGCTTTGGGCTTGGTTCCCGATGTGAAAATGGTGATTGCTGAACTTCGCTGATCGAAACCGACTGCTTGTCACCAGCACATGTTTCCAGCATCGCAACAAACATCTGCTGACCTGGTATTCAAATGACGGCCATACGGCCAGTCAGATTAATTACATACTAGTCAGCTCAAGGTACCGCAGCTGGATTCACGATAGCAGATCGATGCGTGGTGCCGGGGCTGTTAAGGACCGTGGGTCGGAAGATGTCCTCGTTCGTACACACTTGAAAGTTCATCCCTCGTCCGCGCCAAAAATGCCACATCTTCGACGCCTGGATGTCACAAAAATAAGGCATACCAGCACTGTCGAGACCCTGAGCAAACAAATCCGATCCTGTTTTACGACCCGAGCCGACGGAGAGGGCAGTAACCAGTGATCGTCACCAAAAACGCCAGTCTATGGGACAGCTGAGAAAATCCTTGGATAAACCCAGCGACGCCGCAGTGACAGGATCAGAGGAAGACCCCTGCAGTTGTATGCTCAGACGGCTCGATCCAGGTCCCGTAACGAGGACTGCTTCCGCCAACATCGGAGGATGACGGCAAAGTCAGCCAGGGATAATCGGAAGCAGTATGGGGCTGAAATAGCGACCTCCATGGAACAGACCTCGAACGTTGGTGGCACTCGAAAACTCTACCAACTTACCCGCCAAGTTAACGGTAAGCCCTCTACACTGAGTGACTCTGTTCGCGACGTGAATGGCGGCTTTATTGCTGACAACTCGGCCAAAGTCGAGTGCTGGCGTGGGCACTTCGAGCACTATCTCAACTTCGATACCCAACCCACTTCGCCCTTGCTCTCCTCATCAGCGGAGTTTCTTCCCTATTCCAACCTATGCATTGCCATGCGACCCCCCTCCTAAAAGAGAAGTCGTCGATGCCATTCGAAAGCTACGCCACAATAAGGCACCCGGAGAGGACGGTATACCCGCTGAAATCTTCAAGTCTTGTGTCGACACTGGCGCCCTGGCCCTATGAGGTGCTTGAACAAGCGTGGAGGAACGAGGTTGCCTCGATGACTGGAGCTTAGGCATCCTTGTACCTATCCTCAAGAAAGGAGATAAGACGAGATGTGGGAACTACCTCGGCATAAGCCTCATCGACGTTGCTGCGAAGATCTTCCTTATTGTCCTACTCAGGCGATTCCAGGCTGTGCGTGACTCTGGGACAAGGCCCAACCAAGCCGGATTTCGTGCTCGACATGGATACGCAGACCAGATATTTACACTAAGGCGCATTCTCAAATTTCATCATAGTTATCAGCAACCGTCGACCGTTTGCTTTGTTGACGCTGCCGCCGCGTTCGATTCCATCCATCATGAGTCCCTGTGGCGGATAATGGTATTAGATGGTGTACCGACAAAAATCATCGTCATGATTAAGGCCTATTATTGCTCCACCACCGTGCGAGTCCTGATTCGCAACAATCTTTTCCAACCGTTGGGTATTCAGTCTGGCGTTCGGCAGGGTTGTATCCTGTTGCCCAATCTCTTCAAGTACGCTATTGACTGGATTCTCGGGAAGGCTCTACACGAAGTTGACGGTCTAGAGTTTGCACCCGGACACCGACTGACTGATCTCGACTATACCGAAGATATTGCCTTTTTTGCCTCAGGTTTTGCTGATCTGCAGCCTATGGTGTCCCGGGTGAACTAGGTCGTTAAATCTATCGGTTTATCCATGAACGCTGGGAAGACTAAAGTGCTTTCAAGCTGCATTCCTGACCGGGAGGAGGCGCCTCTCGGGATTGATGACTGTCAATTTGAAGAAGTAGACAGTTTTAAATACCTCGGGGCGAGGTTGCCGCCGAACGGCCATAGTAAGGATGACATTGTCTTCCAAATCGATGCTGTTCGCCGAGTTTTCTCAGGCCTTAGGAAATGCCATTGGATCTGATGCGACTTTTTCATCGGCACTAAAATTCGCATGTACAGTGCGTCTGTCCGGTCTGTCCTTCTCTATGGTTGTAAATGCTGGACTGTGCGCGTGGAGATATTTGACCACCACTGCTTGAGGACCATCCTTCGAGTGAAGTTTACCGACTTCGTCTAAAATAAGGCAATCCCGCTCGCTGCGACAACATCGCAAGGATAACCCAGGCCATCCAAGGAAGACGACTGAGGTTGTTTGGGCATGTTCTTCGTCGTCCACCTCAGGAGGTTGGTGTTACTGCCCTCGATCCGGTCAACTCAAAACCTGGCTAGACACAGTTCGTCAAGACATGAAGGTCGTTCTTGGACCTTCGATGATCGGTCTCTGTTGTTGGCGGAGAGAGTGGGTTGAGCTGTCAAGATCTGCTGCCGCGGATTGTTACGCGTGGAGAGGCACAGTTCGGGACATCATCGAGGCCGGTTAGATCAGGCATGATCGCAGCCGTACCAATTACGAGTACAAGTATGGTTGCTTGTAAATCAGGCCACGCTTTCTGGTTCAAGGAAAAAGTGGCTTCCAAGAAGTAGGCGGAGGACTCATAATCGGAAGTTTAATTGGGGAGAGGTGAGCACCCACTGGCATGCTGTATTTGCTGGATGGGCTTGCCACGCAACCGCTTGCTTATCGGCTGACTGACCGACCGTACTTAACTCACTGATCGAATTGCTGTCATCGCTTTCACTGGCCTCCCGTAACCGCGCCTATTACTAACATCAACGATGAGTGCACGGCAATCTGTGACACCGGACTGACAAACCAGCCGGGGATCATGCCGCTGAGAAGCAGGCCTATCCTGTAAGTAGTACACCAGCCGCGCGTTTTCACCCCTCCACATTTCGTCCTTCGATGGGAGGTTGCAGTATGGATTCGAGAAACCACTGACAAAGTCCATGTCTTCTAAAAACTTGATGTTCATTATTGGGCGATTCAGAGCATTGGATAATGGATACAGATTTTCACTCTCACTTCTGGTCTCAACAAATGATGTTTAATTCATATTGACCGAACTGTGAAATGCTCGGCGCCTCGGTGGGATTTGAACCCATGCAATAATGGAAAGGCTTTAGTACATCCAACGCTCTAACCACCTGAGCTACGAGGCCCCGCCGGACGACGCAAGTTTAATCACATTTGGGTCAAGTTACCCGCCCAACCTACTGCAACGTCTGGAATCCACCATATATGATACAGTAAGTTGACTACCCAAGCAGGATTTCCTAAGTAATTCACCTAGAATCCACCAGATAACTACCAGGCTCACGTAATTCATAGGTATTTTGGCGGATTTTGAATAATTCATATTGACCCAACTGGTCTCATAGCTCAAGTGGTTAGAGCGTTGGCTGTACTAAAGCCTTCCCCTTACCGCGTGGGTTCGAATCCCACCGAGGCGCCGAGTTTTCCACAGATGGGTCAATATGGATGATGGAGATGTTGTGATGTTGTAGCGGCTCAAGTGCACAGAGGCCTGTCGCGGCCGCTTAATTCATGGGCAGACCCTAGCCGCCAAGGCCTTCAAGCCAAGTCCCCAGTAGGAAGAAGGGACGTTAGACATCAATAGAGGATATTATATTTTGTAAGGAACCAGCTTAGAATAAGTGGAAGCAAGTTGGCAGTTGGACAAGATGTTCACGTCCGGCAGCATCCGAGTCCCACCAGAGCAGGCGTCCGGATGTCATGAGCGAGAGAATGTCTATGCCAGTCGTGGAATTAGTTGGTTAGTCAATAAAACTGCCACTGATCGAAAACCAGACAATCTCTGTTTCAAAAGATGGTCAGACGTGATGCGAGCACCATCCAGATCTCCAGATTGTCAGTCGAACGACTGTCGTCGGTATGTACGTATATATGCCAACGGCACAGTGTTTCAGCAGGCGTCCGGAGTATGGTCATTACATGTCCTCTACAGCCGGCACGTACGTCGCGCTACGTATCAGATGATCACGGCTTCCGAGTGGTAGGATCATGGGCACATGCAAACTCTAGGACAGGCAATTACAGGCGTCCGCGATCTCCGCAATCACTCAATCGACTCGCCAGGCTGACGCTGACTGGCTCATATGACACTTACTCATTGGCGCCCACATCACGACAGTCCGACCGTCGCTGCCTGCGATGCCCCCCGTGGGCTCCACAGCAAGGTGCAGTAGGCACGGTGACTTGCGCGTGGTTTACTGTATAGTGAGTGTAGCCTTGCGCAACATCTACCGCTCTCTCTCTTCCCCACTCCCCACCTGGACTCGGTGTCAAGACATTGTAGTGACATTAAAGTCCGTTTTGTTTTAATCAGTTACAATACGCTTTGACACAAATTTGAATTAGACAAAGAACACGCACGTGCACTTTTACCTGCCGACGACTTTGTTCTTATTTACTAGTTTGTAACTGTTGGGATACTGTTATTTTCCTTTCTTGGATAGCCTACTCGCTGTGCCCAACTAGTGGGTTTGTCTCTTACACTGGTGACCCTGTATCGTTCATAGCTTCTTCTGTTTAATTTCTGTGCATAACTATTTTCATTTGGATTAACCCTCACTCTAATTTTTATCGATCAGATTATTCATCCAGCCCTTATTTGCTATTCACAATGTCTCACCCTTTCATCCAATACGAGCGCTACCCTTCAATCGCACTGTCAACGCGCCAGTCCTCTACCCCAATTATCTGACCTCTGACCGACACTGGCTAATTATGTCCAACGATTCTACCAGCCAGCCGATAGCCGGCATTCACACATTTGACCTGCCATCCGTGTGGCTCGGGGACATCACGTTGTGGCTGCGCACTGTAGAGTCGTCATTCGCCTTCCGTCAGATCACACGAGAGGATACGAAATTTCATTATGTTGTGGCTGCACTCCCAATGGACATCGCCACCGACCTCCGCGACATCATAGATTGCCCGCCCACAGAAGCCCCTTATACTACCCTAAAGGAGGCTCTCATTTCCCGCATTTCCCTCTCAACGCAAAAACGTCTCCAACGTTTAATTTCTGAGGAGGACCTCGGTGACAGGAAGCCTACGCAGCTTCTTAGGCGTTTGGAGCAGTTGGCAGATGGACAAAATCTGGATGCCACCATGTTCAAACAACTGTTCCTCCAACGGTTGCCTCCTTCTGTGCAAGCCATCCTTGCGCCTAACATTCCTTCATCGACTGTTCAGATGCTCGCGGAGACTGCTGACCGTATACTCGAGTACTACCAGCCTCCTGTTACGGTTAAAGTCGTTAGTCGAAGCACAACTGCCCCCACAATCGAGGATGTCGTCAAACGCCTGGATGCCCTCACTCTCGAAGTTTCCCAGCTCCGGGCCACTCGTGTCTATAACTCTCGTAGTCCTGCAATTTCTCGCCGCCCGAGATCTCCCATTCCAAACAAACCTACAGTTGATGGTTTCTGTTGCTATCATCACAATTATGGTTCTAACGCCCATCGCTGCCACTCTCCGTGCAAATATAAAACACCAGCGTCGGAAAACTCCCCGGCCGACCAGTAAGGGCGACGAACGTGGTCGGCACATCCTCTCCCAGTCGCTTACTCCACATCTATGACAGAACTTCCTGTCGTAATTTTCTCGTGGATACCGGTGCAGAGATCAGTCTAATCCCACCCACCTTGACTGACCGTAAGTCACCAAATTCTTCATTTTTCCTCCAAGCAGCTAACAATACTTCTATTAAAACTTTTGGTCGACGATCCCTAACACTAGATTTGGGTCTAAGACGTTCATTTCGTTGGCTATTTACTATCGCGGATGTCCATACTGCCATTCTTGGCGCTGATTTTATATCCTTTTTCGGTCTCCTCGTTGACATTAAGTCCCATAAATTATTTGATCCTAAGACTTCTTTACATTGTAATTGTTCCACTCGTACCCTTTCATCACCTAATCCACGCATTTCAACAATCCCTTCATCTACTCCCTATCATCGTTTACTTTCGGAATTTCCATCTATCACACGACCTTCACAATTTAACCAACCTATCAAGCATTCTGTTGTACATTATATTTCAACTACCGGACCACCCATGTTTAGCCGTCCCCGTCGTTTAGCCGCCGATAAGTTAGCCATAGCCAAGGCTGAATTCAGTCACATGATGGAGCTAGGCATAGTTAGGCCTTCCACTAGTCCATGGGCTGCACCTCTACATATGGTGTGCAAAAAGTCTCTCGTTGACTGGCGCCCATGCGGGGATTACCGACGGTTAAACACCTCCAGTGTGCCTGACAGATATCCACTTCCCCATCTCCACAACTTTTCATCTAGCCTAGCTGGAGCGACAATATTTTCCAACATTGACTTAGTCAAAGCCTTCCATCAGATACCCGTTCCTCCAGAAGACATTCCCAAAACGGCGATTACAACACCGTTCGGTCTGTTCGAGTTTGTCAGAATGCCTTTTGGGCTACGCAACTCCGCCCAAACTTTTCAACGTTTCATCAACGAAGCCCTCCGCGATCTACCTTTCGTTTTGGTCTACGTCGACGATGTTCTGGTAGCAAGTTCCAGTGAACACGAGCACCTACAACATTTGCGTCTCATTTTTGAACGATTGAGCCAATTTGACGTTTTAATTAATGTTTCTAAATGCGTTTTTGGCGCACAGTCGCTGTTTTTCCTAGGACATCGCGTAGATGCTTCTGGTTGTCATCCCATAGATGCCAAAGTTTCAGCTATTCGCGATTTCCCTACTCCCACTTATTTCAACAACTGCGCCGTTTTATAGGCCTTGTCAATTTCTATCGACGTTTCGTCCCTCATTGTGCTCAATTAATGCTACCACTTACTAACCTTTTACGCGGGAAAAACCGTGAGTTTTCTTTTCCTGAAACAGCTGTAGAGGCTTTCAATCGTGCGAGGAAGGCTCTTGCGGATACAACTGTCCTTGTTCACCCTATACCTGATGCCCCACTTTCCATTGTGGCCGACGCCTCTAATTTCGCTATAGGTGCTGCCCTTAAGCAACAGACGCCCACTGGCACCCAGCCCTTGGCTTTCTACTCTGCCAAATTGACACCCCCACAAACTCGCTGTAGCACTTTTGGTAGAGAACTTCTTGCAATTTATTTAGCCATTAAGCACTTTCGTAATTATATTGAGGGCCGAGATTTTTGTATTTATACTGACCACAAGCCTCTTACTTATGCCCTCTCTACTTCTTCTGACAAGTATTCACCCCGCGAGGCCCGCCATCTCGATTTTATTTCTCAGTATACCACCGACATTCGATTTCTTAAAGGCCTTTATAATCAAGTTGCTGACTGTCTTTCTCGGCCTGGCATTAATGCCATCACCCGCCCTTCCATCGATTTGGAGCGCATGGCAGAACTGCAAAATCAGCCGAATTTCAGTGAGAACCTTCAACACACTAGTCTCCAACTCCAAGCCATTCCTCTTTCCACCACCCCCGGTACAATCTTGTGTGACGTATCGCGCGGTGCCTCCCGACCCGTAGTGCCAAGCGGGATGAGACGAGATGTTTTTGCCGCGTTGCACAATCTAGCTCCCCCTGGCATCCGCACTACCCAGCGCCTAGTCAGCGAGCGGTTCGTTTGGCCAAGCATGAACACTGATATCCGCCAGTGCACCCGTTCATGTTTGGCCTGTCAGAAGGCCAAAGTCGGACGGCACAACAAAGCCCCCATTGGCACTTTTCTCGCACCCGACGCACGTTTTTCCCATGTCCATATTGATCTGGTAGGTCTCTGCCCAACATCTCGTGGTTGCAACTACTTACTTACTGCGATTGACCGATTTACTCGTTGGCCCATTGCAACTCCCATACATAACTTAACTGCCGACTCCGTTGCTCATGCTTTTTGGAAACTGGATCTCTCATTATGGCGTCCCCTCAACTATTACCACCGATCGAGGCCAACAATTCGAGTCTAGACTTTTTAACAGCCTTACCAACCTCCTCGGATGTTCTCGCATACGCACGACAGCATACCACCCCTCATCCAACGGCTTAGTCGAGCGTTTCCACCGGCAACTCAAAGCCTCGTTCCGAGCTCATGACAACCCTTCCCATTGGAGCGAGCATCTGCCTTTGGTCATGCTCGGTATCCGTACCGCACTTAAGCCCGACTTGGAGTGTTCCGCTGCCGAACTTGTATACGGTACCACCCTACGAATTCCCGGGGATTTTTTCGGGCACTCTCAAAGCTCAGGCGACTTAGATCCCAGCGATTATGTGCAAAGATTGCGCCAAGCCATGACTCGTCTTCGAGCCACTCCTCCACGTCCTCCAACAAGCAAGTCGTACGTCGACCCGAACTTACTAACATGTTCTTTTGTATTTGTCCGCGTAGATAGCGTTCGCCGGCCACTACAACAGCCCTATGACGGCCCATTTCGAGCACTATCGCGCAAGGACAAGCATTTTACAATTGACCGTGGAGGCCGCACCGACGTGGTCTCAATCGATCGCTTGAAAGCGGCTTATATCGCGCCTCTTCCAACTTCTCTAACCGAACAACCTCCACTTGGCACATTGCCACTTGCTATTTCCCAGACTCCATTTACGCCCAATAACCCCGCGTCTTCCCTTATCCCACAGACTCCTCCCCTTACGCGCAGCGGTCGTCATGTCCGTTTCCCCGACCGTTGCGAACTTGTACAATATGCATAACACTCCCACATTTTCTTTCTATTAACAATAATTTTTTTGAACTCCGTTCTCCTAGGGGGAGTATTGTGATGACATTTAAGTCCGTTTTGTTTTAATCAGTTACAATACGCTTTGACACAACTTTGAATAAGACAAAGAACACGCACGTGCACTTTTACCTGCTGACGACTTTATTCTTTCTTGGCCTATTCCCTCTCACTTATAGACAAATAAACTGCAGTCTACTCTGGACGTTCCGGATTGTTCGCGGCCAGGGTTGCTCATTAAGGGCAGAGGACTTCTTTGAGTTCGCCAGTACAAACCAACTACGCGGTCATGCATACAAAGTCGGGAATGAGCGCACGCGTTTTGACCGACGAAAATTTTCATTCAGCCAGCGGGTTGTCAGGCCGTGGAACTCGCTTGCAAGCGAGATGGTGACGGCTGACACAGTTTGTGTGTTTAAAAGAAAACTTGCTCGTCTAGTTTTCGACAGAAATCGGCTTGTACAGCATGACTATGCACAGCCAGTTTTGTAAGATCTATCATATACAATCTTCCGCACTAATTTACAGTGACCCCATGCACTACCTTATAATTGCGATTGAACTGTGACCCAATCACATTTTAAATGCCTGCAATTTTATTTTATTTTTGAGTATGAATCTGCGAAAGCACTGTACATAAATAGGGTCATCAAGGGCTCTGCCTGTAACCCTTCAATATACATATACAATATACTAGTTTGTAACTGTTGGGATACTGCTATTTTCCTTTCCTGGATAGCCTACTCGCTGTGCCCAACTAGTGGGTTTGTCTCTTACAACATAGTCAAGAAGAACAAAGGCAGGGGAGGACGCAGGTGGATAGCACGATCTGTCCTGCACCTTGGCGTTCCACACCACATCCCCTCGTCCACACAGCAAATGACCAGGTTTTAGACCAATAAAACAACAACACCCCAACAGGGGCCAGAGCGACGGGGATGACTAAGCAGCCATGCCGGCCACCTGTATACCCAGCGGGCGCGCCATCGCATCTACCGGCAGGGAAGCAGATGTCAGGGAACTGCCAGCGCATACCAGGCTTCGAGGGTCATGGTTTGTTGATTCTGGCATGGCATACGCTTTCAAACCTTTTGACCAGACATAAGTTGCCGCATTCGGCGACGAACAGAAGTTTATGGAGGGAAGTTGTGAATACACGTGACTGGAAGGGCATTTACCGGTGGCTGAGGTGTGATCGTCCGTCCTGTAGGCGATGTGGCTTCAAAGACGTTCGTCACGGTAGACGTCCACATTTCATGGAAGAGCGCCTTCAGATGATCCATAAGTAGGGGGCCACCGTGTTTGTAGATCCCAATAGGGATCGCGTCCGGTTCGGGTGCTTTCCCGAAGGAGAGCTGAGGCATGACCCTGATGGTTTCGTAGAGAGAAGGCGGGAGGTCGATGTCGGCGTTGGTCCCCACTTGAGGCAGACAAACGATGGCGGCATCGGAGATGATGGGGGACGGTTCAGTTCAGTTCAGTTCAGTTTATTGAGGGAAATGTAGGTCTTCACCTTTGAACTCCCTATTTGTTTACAAGCAACTGCAAAATCTCAAAAACTCGAAAAGGTATCATAAAGTAACAAATAATCGGAAAAGCGTCAGGTCTGTACAGACAAACAAACTGTCTCGAATTTTAGTGGTACGAGCAGTTGTAGAGCTGTCGTTTCGAGTGCAGCGAAATAAATAATATGTCCGGGGACAAAATGTGCATATGTGCATGTCAGTAAGCGTAGGCGATGGGTTGGTACAATAATAAGTTCAATTTAAAATGTTACTGAAATATAGCAAGTAGTATCATAATAGCGGAATTTGTCGAGGTTACAGAGATCGGGGTGGTAATTTAGTGCACACTGCTACACAAATCCAGCTTCCTCTTAAAAACCTCGACGGAAGCAGACATAACGACATCCACAGGCAGGGCATTCCAGGCTTCTATCACTCTGTTGGAGAAGAAGAACTTTCGTGTGTCCAGTCTGGCCCCTGTCACACGTAGTTTGAATGGATGGCCTCGTAGATTTGTGGTGGTGGCTAACTCGAAGAAGTCACCCGGTACGAGGCTGCAGTCCTGACCGCGTATGATACGGAAGACTTGTATCAGGTCACCCCGTAACTGCCTGTAACTCAAGGGAAAGAGATGAAGGTTAGCTAACCGCGTTTCATATGGTAGTGAACCCTGTCCTGCCACAAGTTTCGTTGCACGCCTTTGAACCCTTTCAAGGATGCTGAAGTCCTTCGCTGTCCAGGGTCTCCAAGCTTGGATAGCAAATTCTAGTTGCGGACGCACAAAAGTTCGAAAGACTTTAGCGAAGCAGTCTTCGTCAAAGGCAGAGAAAGCCCGCTTGACAAGGTAGAGGACTGACATTGCAGACTTGGCTATCTTCGTGCAGTGCAGCGAGGATTTGAGCGAGGTCGTAATCCATACTCCCAAGTCCTTCTGCGAGTCCACTTCTTGCAGTGGTATACCATTTAGGCAGTAGGCCATATGGTTCAGAGAGCGAGCTCTGCCGACTCGTAGAATATTACACTTTTTCTCGTTGAACGGCAGAAGCCAGGCCTTTGACCACTGTTGGAGTCGATTTAGGTTCGCCTGCAGATGCTCTTCGTCATCTGCAGTTCGAACGACGCTCCAGAGCTTAATGTCATCCGCAAACATGGCGACACCACAATCCAGTTCACTCACGCAATCGTTGACGTAAATGATGAACAAAGTAGAGCCAAGAACTGAGCCTTGGGGAACACCGCTTTCAACGGCAACCTCCGTCGACTTCTGGCCACCGACATGGACAGTTTGACAACGGTCTAACAGGAAGCTTTGAATCCATTTTAAGAGGTTACCCCTAACGCCTGTTCGGCTCAGTTTGTGCAGGAGTCGCTGATGTGGGACACTATCAAATGCCTTTTTAAAGTCGATATAGACTACATGCAGCGCACTGCCTTCATCAACTGACCGAGTCCAACGTTCCAAACAGTTAAGCAGGTTAGTCACGCAAGACCTGCCACTACGAAACCCATGCTGCGCATCAGATAATAAATTATGCTGCTCTAGGAAGCGCATCAGCTCTCGCTTGATTATTTTCTCCATGAGTTTTCAGCAGATGGAAGTGAGGCTAATTGGCCTGTAATTGTTTGCAGAGGCCTTGCTGCCTCCTTTATGCAGTGGTGTGATCCGCGCAGATTTCCAGTCGGCGGGCAAGCCGCCGGCTTCGAACGAGGCTTGGAAAAGCATGGACAATGGTTTGGTTAGTTCGGCAGCGAGTTCCTTCGGTAACTTAGGCGGTATGTCGTCTGGACCTGATGATTTCGACTCATTTAGCGTCATTAGCTCTTTGCGAACCGTCGCTTCATCAAAAGACACAGACTCGATTTTTGGACCCTCATCGAAGTCGTAGTCGGGGGGAGTAAATGGACTTTCACTAGTAAAGATGGATTTGAAAAATTGTGAAAAGTGCTCAGCTTTTTCTCAATCCTCACTAATCTCTACGTCTCCGCTAGTCTTCAGGAGGGGGATTGGATCTCTTTTTCGTGTGCTGCTTCTTATGTAGCTGTAGAATAATTTTGGATTTTCCATAGCACGATTCAATAGGTCTTTTTCAAAATTTTGCCGTGTCCTGAGGGTCAGCCGCTTGACTAAGTTCCTCTGTATTTTGTATGCGTTTATGGATACAGGAGTCCCATCAGTAAGAGATTTCTGCCACAATCTCCGTTTTTTATTTATTTCCTTTTTTAACGCCTGGGTCAGCCACCGGGGTCGTTTGTTTAGCCCCTTCCGTGAAAGCGGGCAGTGGTTTGTCAGGAGAGCATGCAATAATTCACTGAACCATTTCCAATCCTCCTCTATATTTCCGGAAAACGCTGATTCTCAGTCCGTATTGTTGATTTCGGCCTTCATTTGATCGAAGTCCCCACGCCAAATATTTCTTCTAATTTTGGTGGGCTGTTCAGGCACGGAAAAGATTGAATAGTCCCATTGAAGTACAACGTGATCGCTTCGACCTAAGGGAGGCAGACATTGTACCTCATCTATGCTGTCCATCGATTTCGCGAGCACCAGGTCCAAGCAGTTTGACTGCTGCCCCTCACGGACCCTCGTGGGAAATAGGACGTGCTGTGTGAGAAATGACCTGAGTGCCATGTCCAAGAAGCGTCGGTCGAAAGCTAGTTCTGGGCCGCGCGCGTATAGTGAACTCCAATCAATGAGCGGTGCATTGAAGTCGCCCATGATTAGGACGTCAGGCCGGAGAGCAAATCGTCCTAGCTCCTCTAACAGACGAGCGTCAGCCTCGGGGTCACTCCTCGGTGGTCGATAGACGGTCAGAACTTCAAGGCTATGTGATCCTGGTACCCTTATATTGAGCCAGATAGTCTCGGCGCTGCAGGCAAACTGTTCTGTTTTTTCTGACACAAGCAGGCCGTGTTTTACGTACGTGACGACTCCTCCTCCCTGACGCTCTCTCCTGTCTCTTCGAAACAGCTGAAATCCTGGTAGCATTAATTCGCGGTCATCCACGTTTTCAGACAGCCAGGTTTCTGTCAAAGAGACAATGTCAGGGGAAAGGTCACAGATGTGGATCTTCAGTTCGTCTAACTTGGGCAAGATACTCTGCACGTTGGTGTAAAAAAAATGTTAGTTTCAGAGTTTTGGGGCGTTTGATTATGGTGCCGCTTGTGATCCCATTTAAGGAAGCTACTGTGCCCTCATCCGGATCGGTTCGGTCCAACGGATTAGGGGAGGGCGCTGCACTATCTGGTTGTTGTAGATCACAAGATCCGTCTCGCCATTCTGCAACCTTGTTCTCAGTTCCAGAACTAATTGTCGACGTTTTATTCTCTCTGCCGGTGTGTAGTCCGGCAGAAAAAAACGCCGCGGTTGGTGTCTTTGATTCGGAAACGTCGTGAGAGAATAAGTCCTACTTGTTCTTGGTTGGCTAACACAACCTTGAGTGGTCGGGGACGTGAGTGCTCTGATATATCGATTGAGCGCTTTCCAAGCCTAAAGGCCTTGAGAACCGAAACTTCCTCATTGGGGCGCAGAAGTTCGTTGAGTAGGCATTGGAAGAGTTTCAGGTCTGCCGAGACCCGCTCTTTGGAAGCACCAGCTGTGGATTCGGGAAGTCCCTGAATAATCAGACATTGTCCTCTGACCGGCGACACTCTCGAGAACACAGTGGTTTCGTGCTCCGACATAGGCAATATGTGGTTGCCATGATCTGACGAGGATATAAGCTGCAGTCGATTAATATCCTCATTCGTCTCTGTTTTGTTGGCATTTTCATCAAAGTCGGAAGTTTTTTGCGATAGGTTGAGGGTCTTAGGACCCATGTCATTTCCCGTGATGGGCGACACGGACGCCGACGTCCCTGGTTCCGGTTCTTCGGAGGCATTCCTCGGAATCTGCTGTTCATGTCCTTCGACCTTTTTGCTGCACTATTTCTTTTTTTCCTCTGGTTTTTTATCGTTGCTTCGCTGGTTGTTGTCGTCTTGTATTTTATGTGTTTGTGTTGGGTGTGCCGTGACAGCTGCAGAAGGTGTTGATGGCGTATTTTTTGTGCGTCGTCCTTTGGCCCTACTTCTAGTTATTCGTCCAACACGTACATTCGCATCGTCAAGTGTGTCTAGTTTACATTGTAGAAGGGTTTTCATCTTTTCCATCTCTTCCTCAAGACGGTTGATTTTGCCGGCCAATATCTCGCATCCACTGCAAAATCGATCGGTATGCGGCACGCATTTACTATCAAGTAAACTTTGCGACATCGCCCGCCGTCGTGCCGCGGTGGCCGAGGGGTTAGCCTGCGCGACTGAGATGTCGATGGTCGGTGGTTCGACTCCGTCGTGCAGCGCAATATTTTGTGTGGCTGCGCAAATCGTCATTATGTAGTGGACTTATGCAAAACGGACAAATCTGCAGGAATAACAAGCTATTTCTTAAGGCGCAACTGTGGACAGTGCCTATGTTTATGCTGGATACGCCGAAAATTTCCAGGGAACGCTTTTTTCGGGTAAATCTATGGTAAAGTGAGACAACTCGAGTTGTCCGAATTTAAGCAGCACAGCAAGCAGTGTAGAAATATCGACTCAGCCTTATCGTAGATGTTGCTCCTAACTTCGGTGATCAATTTGAGACGGTGTATTGGATGGGTAGGCCCTGTAGACAAGCCGAGATTTCCGACAGATAGACCGTTTTTGCTGAAGTTTGTTCTGATCGAACGATAGGAGTATCGATGGCGATAGCTGGAGGATCGTTGTCAGAAAGGCGTTTTATAATCCACGTTTTGGTGAAGGACAGTCGTTTTCAGCGAAGAGACTCGATTTAAGAACTTCCGTCCTTGTTTGATGAATCCAAAATTTAGGCTAAAGAAAACAGCGCTGAAATACAATTTCTCTCAACAACAACAACAGCCTCTTTTTTGGAGGAGCAGACTTAAAAAAACACGTACAACTCGATTGGACGACTCACTTTTTCTCGATTGGACGACTCGATTGGACGCTTCTGAAGTGCTCGGCTCATCACTGTCTTCTTAGTGGGTAGGGTACTGCCGTCGGCCTTGAGAAGAGAAGCAGTTGCCTCAGTTGGCGTACCGTAGACAGCTTTGATCGCGGAGAAGAAATTCTCCCATTCGAAGCGCTCCGCGCACCCTTGGATCTCCTCGGCCTTGTGAGCCGTCCAGGCGTCCTGCATCTCGCGTAGTCGCTGTTGCAGAAGGCGGCGACTATGGCAAAGGGCTGTTTATTTGTCGACGGTGGGGTGGATGACGTAGGATTTGTGCAGGCGATTCTTCTCGGCGAGTAGGTTGCTGATGGTGGCGTCGTTGTCATCGAACCAGTCCTGATGTTGGCGTCGTGCGCGATCGAGTAGGGCTTGAGCCGCCGACTGGAGAGTGTCCCGCAGTTGGTATCATCGGTTCTCCACGGAGGCCTTCTTGTCGGCGACGGCGGCGACTGGAAGGTTGGTTAGCCATTGAAATAACTCGTGGTTGAAATGGAGATGATGAGCAGGCAAAGACAACAAAGGAATATTCAGCTTACCTGGGGGGTCAATTACCTTATTCGTAGTACAAACGACACTATGTATGAAGGAAAGTCTATTGAGAAGGCCTTGCCACATAGGATTAGCGCTCGCTCTCTTTATATTTGCAACCAGGGGCCCGCAAAGCGCGCTAAAAGCGTTATCACAGCAAAACCTGTTAGTTACGAGGACGATCCGTGCACTGGATTCTCATTTATTCTGCTGAAACTCCAAAAACTCGAAAAAGAGTTGACTGCTTTAAGGGAACTCGTGCAAGCGAACGATGGTGTGCAAAACGCGGTTAATAGCGCTAAAGTTAGCAAGAAAAAGAGAAAGAACAAAACTCTAAAACAGCCAAAGAACAAAGCATGTGGAAAACCTCTGTGCAAGAGCGCCGATACCCAGGACGCTGGGAAAATAGCAACGGAGTCTCTTGTTTCTATGGAAGACAACCCAAGCGAGCCATCAACTTCTCTCAGCCATTCCGCGTGTTCAATAGGACCCTCAGTTGGAAGTGAGGAAACAAGCTCATGGCAAGATGGAAAGGGTAAGCGCCACAACGGGAGTATGGAACCCCAGACGACTCCGGTGGATCTTCTGAGACTTTCAGCTGACAAGGCCGCCGGAAACAGAAAAAGTGAACCCATTGATCGTCAGCATTGCGCAGTCGTCCAGGGTCTATCGGAGTCGGATGCTCCTACCCCGAAGGAGAGGATCTGCGCTGACCTTAATATGCTTCAACACCTACTGAACGAAATGCTTATTTCGAATGAAAAGATAACCATTCGCGCAGCCTTCAGGATTGGAAAGAAGGTGAGCGAACAATCAGAAACTGTGCGGCCACGACCTCTGAAAATTGTTTTGAACAGTAAAGAGGAAGCTAGCTTACTTCTGTCCAGGAAAAGTAGCCTCCGAAACTCTCACAAGGAAGTTTTTTTTTCAGCCGGACTATTCTCCAGCGGAACGTCTGAAACGCCGCGAATTGGTAACGGAGTTGAAGAGGAGACTTGCAGCGGGAGAGAGCAACTTGGCCATTTTCAGGGGACGAGTGATACAGAGGAACGCGATGTTGTTTTGGAACCAGCCAGTCGTCATGATGGCGGCAGCAACATAATATTGGCAAACACGAGACAAACCGAACGAAGCACTGTCGAATGTTGCAAACTAAAATTCTTTTACACCAATGCTCAGAGTCTGTTTTCCAAGCTTGACGAACTGAGAATACAGGTAGCCGATACTCTTCCTGATGTTATAGCAATAACAGAAACGTGGCTGTCAGAGGACGTTGGCGATTGCGAGGTAGCATTAACAGGATACCATTTGTCTAGGAGAGACAGGAGAGGCCGCCGGGCTGGAGGAGTTGCCATGTATGTCAAGAGCAACTTAGCAGTGTGTGAGAGGACCGACAAGATTTCTAACGACACAGAGGCAATTTGGCTGACCATAAAGGCGCGGGGATCTCAGTCCCTCGAAGTCCTAACTATCTACCGGCCCCCGCAGGCGGATCCCGACCCAGATACTTGTCTACTGAAAAGCATAAAAGAGATCGCCAGCCGACCAGACGTTGTTCTCATGGGGGATTTGAATGCACCCTGCATTCAATGGAGTGATATGCATGCGAAATGCTCGATGAATACCTTCGATTACCATATACTAAAGACAACCCTAGAAGCTCTACTCACGCAACATGCCCTGTTTCCAACTAAAGCTCGTGGAGGGCAACAGGCCAGTTGTCTGTACCTCGTTTTTACAAAAGATCCTGACAGTATAGACGAGGTGTACTACCTACCCCCGCTCGGTCGAAGTGATCATGCAGTGCTTTTATGCGAGTACTTGCTGTATTCTGAACCGTGTACAAAAGACAATACGAGGCCAAATATATGGAAAGGGGACATTCGCCAAATGAGAGCTGAGGCATCACAAATAGACTAGGATGTTCTCTTCTCCGGAAACGTTAACGAGGACTGGAATTTATTTAAGGATCGTTTACTGCATCTAATGAAGAACCACTGTCCCTTATCAAAGCCTAGGATATCCAACCGCCCTCAGTGGCTAACACGAGAACTGAAAAGGAGATCAACAAGAAGGGAAGGTTATGGAAGAAATTTCGCAAGAACAACAACAATGCAGCGTTTACAGAATACAAAGTTCAACGAAATAAGGTGAAAAGTCTGATTTTCAGGAGGCGACGGGATTTTGAGAGTACTTTGCTCCACCGAGCCGTTAAAATCCGAAATTGCTCTACAGCTATTTGCGGAAAAGCACACGTAACAGGAATCCCATTCCTGTTATGAGGGGTGATGACGGCTTGGAGATATCGGACAGTAAAAATAAGGCTGAGCACTTTTCTCAATTTTTCCGATCCGTTTTCACAAGAGAAGCAGACTTTACCCCATTTAATTCTGAGAACATGAGAGATCCCACTATCGAAAATATTGTGTTTCGAGAAGAAGCGATTTTGGAAGAACTGAAAAGCTTGAAGGAATGTAAATCTCCCGGTCCGGACGAGATTCCAACAAAGCTGCTCTTTGAGCTTGCCCAACAGCTGGCCAAGCCACTATCCTTTCTGTGCCAAAAATCGTTTGATGCTGGAATTCTTCCCACAAACTGGAAGACGGCCCACATTACACCCCTTTACAAAAGCGGTAGTCGTGCTCAGGCGACAAACTAAAGACCCGTCAGTCTGACATCAATCTGCTGCAAAGTGATGGAGAAAACCATCAAAATGGAGTTGATGGCTTACTTGGAAACCCACAACGTCTTGTCCAATACACAATATGGTTTCCGTAGGGGAAGATCATGCGTTACGAACTTGCTATACACAATGCAAAGTTGGACACGAGCACTGGACGCAAAACACACCGTGCATGTTGCCTATATTGATTTATGGAAGGCGTTCGACAGTGTTCCGCACCAGCGTCTCCTACACAAGTTGAGAATTATGGGCATCGGTGGCAAACTTCTCAAATGGATCGAAAATTTTCTTGTCGGCCGCTCCCAAATTGTCTGCGTAGAACAACAGCAATCAAGGTGCACATTCATAGAGAGTGGGGTCCCACAAGGCTCGGTGCTCGGACCAACGCTCTTTCTCTTGTTCATCAATGATTGCGTAGATGGGTTGGACTGTGATTGTGCCATGTTTGCGGACGACATAAAGATCTGGAAAGTCATCCAGAATGCTGCCCATGAGACCAACTTCCAAGAAAATCTTTGTCGGTTGGACGAGTGGTCCCGCAGATGGCTCTTGTCCTTCAATTTGAACAAATGCACCATTCTGCGCCTCTGAAATCAGAGCCCTAGTATGCGGCAATACCATCTGAACGGAATGCCACTACGAGAAGCAGAAACTCAGAAAGATCTCGGAGTTTGGGTTGCAGACAGCCTAAAGCCTTCTACACAATGCTGTAAGGCGGCCAAGGCCGCAACGTCAATGCTATATGCCATCAAGCGGGCATTCGTAGTTTTCGATGAAGCCTGCTTCACCAAAGTCTTCGGCACGTTTATGAGGCCCCATCTCGAATATGCAATTCAGGCCTGGAGACCGTGGACGCATCAGGATTACGATCTGCTCGAAAGGGTGCAGAGGCGAGCCACAAAATTAGTAAGAGGCCAAAGTGCACTGCCATATGAGATCCGCTTAACTAACCTTAATCTCTATCCTCTGAGTTATAGGCAGTTGCGCGGAGACATGATACAAACTTTCCGTATCGTGCGCGGCTTGGATTGGGCCCTTCGGTACGATGACTTTTTCCAACTCGCCACTACAACTCACCTCCGGGGACATCCCTTCAAGCTACGTGTGCCACAGGGTAGACTGATTGTGAGAAAATATTTCTTCTCCAACCGTGTCGTGGAACCGTGGAAAAACCTGCCCGAGAAGGTTGTTATGTCTCAATCTGTGGAGACATTTAAATGTCGCCTTGACAGATATATGCTACAGCAACAAGCGGACTATGTGACTTTTTAGCCATGTGACTAGTGACATATGTAAATCAATGTATGCATTCACTTAATGCTGTAATTTCTTCACATTTTTGCTTGTTTATCGATTTTTTATGTACAAATATGGAGTTCAAAGGCGTAAGCCTATTTCCCTCAAATACACTGACTGACTGACTGACCTTAAGGTATACGGCGAGGCTGTAGGCTAATCCGCACCTCGAAGATGACGGAACGATGATCGGTTCATCCGTCGGCGTCCGGAATCGCCTGTGTCACCAGCACGTTCAACTGCTCCCGCTTCCGGAAGAGGACATAGTCCAGCAGGTGCCAGTATTGGGACTGAGGATGCATCCGGATGGCCTTCTCTCGCGTCGGGGGCGGAAGTAGATGTTGGTCGGTATGAGTCGGTGTTCTGCGCAGGTTCGTAGGAGGAGCAGGTCACTGTCATTGCAGGCGTCGATACCATTGGAACATGGCACGCCTCTCTAGGCAGCATGGCCTGTGCCGACGTGGACGTTGAAATCACCATGGTATATTATTTTATCTGCCTTCGGCACAGATCCCAGGAGGGTGTGCAAGTCTTCGGAGAATTTGTCCCCTGCAGCATCGGGGCTGTTTATCGGGGGGGGGGGACGTAAACACTGACGATGGCGACGAATTTATCTCCCCGGAGAGGCAGGCGAAGGCTCATGAAGCGATCGTGGGTGCCCCGCGGCAGACAGGACAGTCGTCTGACGATGTCCTTCCGGATGGCAAGGGCGACGTCCGCGTCCCGACGCTCTGCCCTGGGGCGACCGCTCCAGAAGAAGTTGTAACCGGCACCCACCTCCTCCAGTTGGTGTCGCTTGGAGAAGCGGGTCTCGCTGAGTGCGGCGATGTCCATCATAAAGCGAGACCGGAGGGCGGCGGAAACGGCACAGAAGGATGTGTACAAGTCTGTGAAAAAAATGAGTGACCAACCGATCAGGAAAGTGAACGTGATAATCACTGCTAATGATATGCACAGGGTCCACAGAAGAGTGGAAATGACGTAAATTATAATGTTCCCACAGACGAGTGAATATCTCACGAGCCCTAGATATTAAGAGTAGTAAACAAAACTGTTCAGTGAATAAAATCGATATTCAGAACGTGAAATGGCCTGCCAGTAGAGCATACTAGCGAAGCGGAGGTTGTCCAGCCGTGTTGTTTCCGTTGCGTCAAATCTATCAGTTCTGTAAAAGAAAACGTAATAAGATTGTCAAAAGTGAATCAGTCTGGTACCTCGCCACAGTACCCTTCTCTGAGGTCGAGGTGCAACGTAAAACGGCGTCGAAGGGTATACATAAGTCTAGAAGAAAAAACTTTATTGAGTACCCGCGAGGACACTTTCATAGCAAGTAAAAGTAAATGTTCAAGTATATTTTAGAACAAATGGACAGATTCTGTACATTTAATGGTTGTAAAGAAACGGTCAGCGACCAGTGAAAAAACTCCTTATGAAAAAGACAAAGTGAACATACATTGATTAGCTTTTAAGGAAAAAAAATTGCCGCTCGTGAAAGGGTAAATATTCAGGTCGAACAGGACTGACCTGCACACGTTATTGAGTAAGCGATTCGAAACGAATATCGTCAAGTCAGAATCCCCAAACCGGATGAAGCAAGACAGAGGAACCTAGACGTAATCGGTCACAGTCCGTCTAGAGTCCAGATGAGGATGAGACATTAAACGCTGGGTCGGTCATCGAAGCGTAGAGCTGAAAATTCGACCCTGAGTTCTCTCCGCTGATCGACCAAACTACTAGTAAATGGCAAAAATAGAGGACTTTGCCGTGTTCGTAGACAGACCACTTGAGTTGGAAAGGAGGAGTTGGCATCAAGAATCGATAAAATCAACGATTGGGGGCGAGTGTTCAAAATCGCAGGGGCCAAATTGGATTCCTGATGAGGGTCAACAATTAACGAAACGGAGGTTGCTTAGAGCGTGAACGTCAACCTAGTCCCGCTACTTTGAGAGGATTTGTCAGGAAGGGTATCGCCTTCTGTGAGGGACATGATGCATGAACTGAAAAATCGAAAAGTTGGAATCCCTGATGAGAGATCCTAGAAAGCGAAAGCACACACGGAGAAGGAGATGTCGGCGGATACGGTAATTCGGTAGCGGAGTCCTGGATTCCCGATAGCCCTTTCTTAGTGCCATAAAGAAAGCTGTCCAGGAAGAATGAGGAAAATAAAAGTTTAATCGAGTCAGTATTCAGATAGATGTGCAGCCTTCTCTTAATGTGTGAAGCTTATCCGATTATCTTATATTTATTGGAAGGTCATCTCAAAGAAAGGTATACCTGAAAGCGAAGAAAAGAGAGCAGTTAGATGTGGAGGAATCAGAAGGAGATATAATCAAGGAAGAATCGCGCAGGGGGTAATGAATGAAATCCAAAGAAGATTTAAACTATTATCAATGAGAAGGAGAAGACAGAATCATGCAGGAATAACGAGACAGGATCGCCGGAACACGAGATTTGTTGGCTTGACGTTTCGGGCCCTCACTCGAATCCATCATCAGAGACAGAGTCAGATTAGGATGGTAAGTTTTCAACGAAATCTGAAGACTACTGTGGACGCGGATGGCTGGGCACGTAGCAGCAGTGAGGAGGAAAAACGCCAGCTCCCACGTCGCGGCTCACTCAACGGAATCAAATCACACATGCAAGTCTGATGAAACAGAAATTCTTGTTAGAGGTGACAACCACGTGCGCTGCGAACTGCTCATGTCCCGGTTTTCCGGTCCTTCATCAGTCAAGAAGCACAATGACTTCCCCGCTCCATATTTGGCGCTGAGACTTTGCCTAGGCAAAGTAGTTGGCCGCGAGGACAGTGTGCGGACGACCACTGTTCCTGGTGTCAATATCGGCGAGCCAGTTTGCCCAAGAATCCACACGGATGACAAAATCCGACGATCGGCAGCTCGACTGTGTGCAATGAACGTGGGAGCCGATAATCTTGACCAGCACACAGGCGCATAGCATCTGCACGGCAGCGGCATATTTTAACACCTGGCAAGTCGATCCGTGATGTACTCGGGAGCAGCCAACTGCGATAGGCATGTAGCGGCCTGGCCACAACATCCTATAAATGCTGCAGCACCTAGGCAATTAACCATTCTTATCTGGCTCTATTTTTGATGACGGATTCGAGTGAGAATCCAAAGCCTCACGCTAATAAAGCTCTTGTCCCAGCGATCGTGTCTCCTTCTTCGCGACAACTTCCTGGAACTCGCTTCTTCGATTCCATTAATAGAAGCCTGCTTCCTGTCTTCGGACCCCTCAAAATTTTAGATTAGTCAGCTGACACCTATCCCAGTAGGAAATATTTGCATGTGCCGTGCTTAAGAGTCTTCTAGTAAAATGTATTTTCAGTTTAAGTTTATTTTCAGTTTATTTAGTAATAATAATAGGCAAGGCCTTTGAAAACCCTTTTGATTACATGTCAGCTCCTTAGATACAATAGTACACGAACAATGAAAATATTCGCTATTAAGACAGTACTTGAGTCTTCTGAGTAGCATTGTCTCAGAGGAAGAAATATGGGGGGGGGGGTAGCGGGGTATTTAGTTGAGATTTAGACAGTCGAGGTAAAACAGGGGACACAAATGATCATCAAAGCGTTTCTGGAAGAGTTGCATAGACGTCGCCTCCACGACTGACTGAGGGAGATCGTTCCATTTCTCCACTACCCTTTGCGTGAAAAATCCAGAACGAAGACTCAGCCTGGACATTGTTGTCCGTAACTTCATCGATTGACCACGAAGATGGGGTGAAAGCTGTCACTGAAACATGTCTTCAAGGCTAAGTCCATGCTCAAGGCCATGTATTATCTTGTAGACGAGGATAAGATCACCTCTTTGCTGCCTGTAACACAGAGGGAACAATTTAAGGCAATTCAGTCTGTCTCTGTAGGATTGGCCTTTTTTTACTGTTTGCCAGTTTTGTTGCACGACGTTGTACCCGTTCAAGGCATACTTTGTCCTTTACTAGCCATGGCCGCCATGCTTGTGGGCCATATTCTAAGTGAGGCCGGACAAAGGTGCCGTAAACTCTATCAAAAAGGACTTGGTCAGAGGTTACGAACGCCCTGTTGATTGCATGGAGCACTGCCATGGCATTTTTTGCATCCTTGTGACACCGCAGTGTTGGTTTCAGGTTGTTCTGTATCCGAGCGCCGAGATCCTTCTGTGAAGATTCTAGGCGAGCCTTATATCTTTCAGGTGATATGCCCCCAGGCTCTCATTTGAATGAGGGTTGGTTGGAGGCAGATGATGGGCGGCACACTTCTGCACATTGACATCTAGAAGCCATTTCTCCGAGTACGCTTGCAGTCGGTGCAGATATTGTCAGTTCCTACCGAGTGCGACTTGGTAAGCTGACCTATCAACTTATAAGTATTTGCAGGAGGGAAGTAAATAGTTGTGTGGGAATCAGCAGGCGAAGGAGGAATTGAATTAATTGGGTCAGTTTCAGTGGTAAAATGTTTGGCAAATAATTAATCTAACAATTCTGCTTTTCCTGCCTCCTCTGTGATGAAGGCATTCTTGGGAATATGCAAACACAGAGTGACTTGGTAGGAGTCTACTGATGATCTTTGACAAAAGGCCTGAGCAACTGCTCTAGAAAGATTCGCACCGGTAATAGGTAAATACTCTCTACGCTTATCTTACGCAAGCCTGATTTTCGAAACTTATTCAATTATTTCAGCGATTCTTAAGTGAACCGATAATGAGCTTACGGAAGGGTCTGTCAGCTGCTGCCGTAGCTCTTAAAATCTGATTTTAAGAAAATGTGGAATAATGGAGGAAGTGGACTCGATTTTATCGTCTTCAGTGGAATGAGGTCGAGAAGACCTGCTGTTACGCATTATAATTAGTCATAAAAATTGGAAAATGAACTTAACGGCCACTTCCAGTGATATAAGCAGGAGGCACAGTTGGATAGGGTTAAGTGCGTGCTACGGTGGAGTTGAATTTTGAGGAAAGCTGGGGAGTGGAGATATGCAGGACGGTGGAATAGAGGGCAAGGAAGGGGAAGGAAAAGGTAGTATAGAAGGTGGGAAAGCAGGGGATATTGGGGGTTGAGAAAGAGGGTTTAAGGGGTCAGCACATTTTTGTCCTCCTGGCAGGTCCGAAGGCTCCTCCACGACAGCAGTCCTGACCCCGTCAACACTGCCCACGTCCTTCTTATCAGCAGGTCTTGGTGCGGCGTGCAAGCAAACGGAACGTTCCTAGGTATAGTTATTCCAGCGGCTGACGCACCCGGTCACACCGAACGATCGCATGAGTGCAGTCTTCCTAACCTTTTTTGACATGAGACTCGGTCGTTGACGTTCGAGTCGGAACCGGAGGAAGCGAGCGTATAAATTGCCGCAGACGGTACAGAAAATCGTCAGGGGTCTCCTTAGTACCAGGACAGGTTTGAGTGACCATCTCGCCTGAAAGTCGGGGGTAGCGTCAAGAACCAATTCAACTTCGCTACAGTCCAAATCCGGATTCAGTTCCGCGTGAATGCTGAGGAGTGCAATGGAGAGGTTGTCTGGCCAGTTTTTTCGGTCCTCAGCGGCGCGCAGGATAGTCTTTGGATGGCGCTGGTAACGCTCAGCCATCTCGTTGGCAGCTGGGTTATATCCTCTCGTCTGAACGCCCGTGCAGCCGAGAAAATGGAGGAACGTTCGAAAGTGTACAGACTCAACATGAGCAGCATGATCGGTTCTAGCTGTGGATGGGGCACGAAAAGTGGCGATCCGGTGACCGACGAAGACCCTCACGACGGTTTCAGCCTGCACAATCGGCAACAGATTGGCTTCAGCCCAACGGGTGTATCGATCAACTCCGGCAAGAAGGTGGGTATAGATATTGGGCAGAGGTAAGAGGCCTGCGACATCCAGATGCACACAGCTTAACCCTACGACGGGGCTGAGGAATGTGCCCGGTGGGGACTTGATATGACGTTGCACCTTGTTGCACTGGCCTCTCAGACAAGAAGGCGCCCAAGCTTTGACGTCCTTGTTCATGCCAGGCCAGAAAAACCTTTCCGTGAGGTGCTTTTGAGAGGCTGGGATCCCAGGGTGGGAGATTCCATGCAGAGTTTGAAACACAGTTCGACGCATTGAGGCGGGCACAAAAGGACCATGAAAAGGAGCCGAGACCTCACGCAAAATGGTGCCGGTACCAGTTATCAAAGGGACGTCTACGAGTTTAAGACAAATAACATACTCGTCGCCCGAAAGAACAGCACGCCGCTGCTCATTTGCCATAGCAAAAAGGTCAATCTCATGAGAGAGAGAGAGAGAGAAAGAGAGATGAATCGCCAAAATGGGAGGTGTGGACAGCATGTCAGCCACTTCATTCTTCTTCCTATCTATATGGCGGATGTCGGTGATGAGTTGGGAAATGTGTTCTAAGTGGGTGGTCTCTCCCGGTTTATATTTGCCTGAATTTGTTCGTATAGCAAATGTAAGTATCTTATGGTCTGTAAAAATTGTGAAGTCACGACCTTCAAGAAAATGTCATAAGTGTCTCACAGTCAGGTAAATGACAAGAAGTTTACGGTTAAAGGCATTATATCTCGTCTCAGCAGGAGAGCGCTTCTTAGAGAAGTAAACCAACGGTCGTGTGGAGTTGGTTAGGTATTGTTGGAGGATTACTCCTTCGGCAACTATCGAAGCGTCAACCATGAGGGAGAGCACGGCTTCGGAACAGGATGTATGAGCAAGGTAGCGTTATCATGAGGGGCACTGATCCACTCGAAAGCAGACAGTGCATCACCAGCTATCTCAAGGAGACCTCTCGGACCAGAAAGCATGTTGTTGAGTGATAGCATAAGGTCGGCTCAGTTCGGTAGGAACCTGCGGCAAAAGTTTACCATGCCGAGAAAAAGACTGCAGCGGACTCTGGGAGATTAGAGGAAAATGACGAATTGTTTAAACCTTGGAGGGAGGTGAGGCTAACCTTCTAAGTCAACAGGATGACCAAGAAATTCTGGAAAGCACGTCAAAAACACACCTGAAGGAGTTAGCGACAACGCTATACTTGTCGAGACGGTCCAACACCAAGGTAAGGTGCTTTTTATGTTCCTTCTCATACTGGTTGTCCATCAAGAGGTCGTCGATGCAGGTATACACAAACGGTAGACCACGTAAGACGTGGTCAATAGACCTGGGGAACGTTTGGGCAGCATTACGAGGATCAAAGGACATGCAGATGAATTCAGATAGGCCAAAAGATGTAGTGATGGCGGTTTTAGGGATATCCTCATGGGCGACCGGGATTTCAGTATCAGTATCAGTATCAGTTTATTAAGGGAAATATAGGCAAGCGCCTTTGAACTCCCTCCTGGTTACAAGTCGTCGGAGAAAAACATTGATAAATGGGAAGGTGAAAAAGGGATTTTGTACATACTCGCGGAAAGCTGGCAGCTAGTCGAAAAAGAGTAATCATTAATGGTTACTTACTAATTACAAGTAGTATAAACACGTATAAGATGGTACCGGGTTATGTGAGTGGATGTGGGGGTGGTAATTGGGAAGCTTGATGCAGGTCAAGTCTACACTTGAAGGAGTTCACACAGGAGGAGGTTACAACATCGGCAGGCAGGGCATTCCAGGCTGCAACCACTCTGTTACTGAAAAAGGACTTTCGTCCATTGGTTCTTGATTTCCCTGCGCGTAGTTTTAGGGGATGACCGCGCAAAGTGGGCGTGTTAGCTTGAGTGAAATAATCAGTGGGATCTAAACAACAGTCTAGGCTGTTGATGATGCGAAATGTTAGTATAAGGTCACCACGTAATTGCCTGTAGGAAAGGGGAAACAGGTTGAGGATTGACAGTCTGGTTTCATAGGGCAGTGCTCCCAGACCTTGTGTCATTTTGGACGCCCGTCTCTGGACCTTCTCCAAGACCGTATAATTCTTGGCAGTCCAGGGTCTCCACGCCTGTATGGCGCGCAACAGGCCAGTCATCGAGAAAACCGCTTTGACGAAAAGGACTCCAGTGAAATCCTGAAAAAGTGGCACAGGGTAATGATTAGGGGTGGTGGCGTTGTTGAGATAACTATAATCGCCACAGGGCCTTCGGTTGTCTGATGTTACCTTGGAAACAATGTGTAGGAAGGACGCCAAGCGGCTCTCAGACGGTTGAATGATACCCAGTTACAGCATGTGTTCAAACTCCGCCTTCACGACCTGAAAACGGGCCTGTGCCAGTCGTCTAGGCCGACGGAACACAGGAGGAGCAGAGGTGCGAATATGAGACACAACATCATGCCGAACCTCGTCATTGCGATACAAGGGGTTGATAATTTTGGGATGTTCAAGGAGCAGTTCCCGAAAGGAGCTAGCAATGGCTGTTTCCAGGACAGACAAACTGCAGAATGTACTGAAGGGAGTTAAACCGTGTACGGGGAGACCAGCTGTGCAGTCGAGGAGTCGGGATAGTCGGCAGTCAAGAAGGAGGTCGAACTCGACTAGAAAGTCCCAGCCGAAAATTGCATAAGGGACACTGGCAATCGCAATGATCCAGAAGAAAGACCGACAAAGGTCAATTATTACATTGATGCTTGGTACGTTGGTCTTCCTGGAGCTATGCGTAACTCGTCCTACCAGTTCTACGCGTAACGCTGACGAATATCTTGACTGTGAGGAGAAGTCCATCTCCATGCCATCAGATTTATTTCGGACTCATCCAGCCGACCGCGCCGACTTTGATGATCTACCAGATGCGCAACAGGATCCGGAAAACATCTCACAGTCTGGAGTTTGCTGAAGAAGACCACAAGGTGCTTAAAGTTGCTAGACTGCATCGGGCACGTGGGGCAGAAATGGGGTTATTATTTTTAACTGGTAGCAATTTTTGGTTGAGGTCACCAAGACGCTACGGCTTTAAGAGAAGCAAAAATGTAGTTCTTCCGACTGCCGAGAAAGTAAACGGGCGTATATGTTCACATTCCTTCAGGTAAATTAGAAATTTGTTGGCCCCAATGAAGTAATCAGACGACAAAGATAAAGCGCATTTATTTTCCAGTCTGAAGTTCCTGCACCGAAAGACAGAAGTGTTCACCAAGGTTGAAAAGAGGAATGACGGCTTTGTTGACGAGCGCAACCGCTAGTAAATTACGTCAAATTTACTGGTGCAGTAGTTCATCAACACATACGCTCCATTGGATATCGAGATCTTTGACAGTTTGCATTTTCGACTTTCGCACGATATTTGGACGTCCCAAGCGACGATATTCACTGCTTGCTCCTGGGAGAGGGCCCATCATTGCTGACTTGCCCGCGAGGCTTGGATTGTTCAAGTTCAGCGGTGATACCCATATAAGTATTTAAACAGCCGCAACTGCCGCACTCTTTCCTCAATCGCCCATCTTGCCCCGATGGCAAGATAATTCCAAGACAATTAGAGATAGGCTGACAAAGCGAAACGGCCCGTTCACGCGCGCAACACATGACCTGGTCACAAAACTTTTACTTAGTTCTCATGGAGACGGATGGGATCTCACATAAGCGAGGCTGCAATGAAATCCACGTTTGGATGGAGCTAATTTTACCTGGCTCTCAGTCCCCAGAAGGACGATTGATCCCGTCGGTCAATGGCCTTTTAATCCACGATCCGTCATGCGTCATGGTAGATTGACATGCGTCAGATTTGTTATGGAGAGGGATGAGTTGATGTGCAGTCAGCATGTGTTCTCCAGTGTCATTTTAACTGACTCTCTTTCTTCTCCCACGCATCAGCGGACTGTTCGGGTGATGGGCTTGGGTACGGTTGTTGATACGGCGTGTCGTCACAAGCATTTAAGGAAGGGGTTAAGGCCTTATGCGGACTTGGTACCGCCCGAAAGGCGCGCGCCGTTAGTCGGTCTGACCTCATTTTCATCCAGAGCATCCCCAGCGCTACGCGATGTGAAGATCAACTCTCTCACACACACGTAGAAGAGCACATACACCGCCAGCTGCCGACGCGCACGTTCTAGTCACCATCACTTTTTTGACCTGCACACGCTTCGACACACGGCGCGAGTGTTCCCTACCAGTGTGTGTGTGTGTGTGTGTATCGGCCTGGTCGGTCACTTGCGAATCCATCGCACAGAGACTGGCGAACCAGTGCCTGGAGCACCAACCTACACTCACCGCACTCGCCTCCACTGCCCACAATGCCCTCGCACCTTCACTCATCGCATGGGTCTATTCGGCCACATGCGCATCCACGAGAGCGGAATTGACCACAATTCCGATACAGCCGCGACATCCAACACATCCACCACGCCCAGACCAATCCTCGCTCCACCGTCACACGCGTCGACCACCACCACCACCAGCATCACTGCTTCCTCTACAGATGACACCGACACCGCCAACCTCTCATGCCCACATTGTCCACGCACCTTCACCTCACGCATCGGCCTGGTGGGTCACTTGCGAATCCATCGCACAGAGACTGGCGAACCAGTGCCTGGAGCACCAACCTAGACCCACCGCACTCGTCTTCACTGCCCACACTGCCCTCGCACCTTCACGCATCGCATGGGTTTATTCGGCCACATGCGCATCCACGACGACCTGCGGTAGACAACCGCCGGTCACACCACACATTCCCTCGCTCCCTACCTCCTAACACCATCACCCCACCAGACATCAACACTCACACACCTCATGCACTCAACTGCCGCCTCCCACGCAAGTGGGAAGTGTGCATCTCGACTCGGTCCCAATGCGGCTTCGGCTGCACGGGTGACTTGTGTCCGAGTCTATCCCGACACGTCAAGTGTCGTGGATAGGAAGGTTGCTGATTGAGGCGTGCTCTCGGTTCGCGCAGTTCGTCACGTTGTGTGTGTGTGTGTTGTGTGGAGTGGCGAACAGGTGGGCTGGGGATGGGCTGAAGCAGCACCTTCCACGGCCCTCTCACGCAAGTGGGAGACACGCCGTTCAACCCCCGTTGTGTGAAATCCTGGTGTTTGTGTGTATGGGGGGCCAGGTCGTGCTGTGGTGCGCGCAGGCATGGTCAGTCGACCATGTCAGCCACCGCGCCCATTCCCCACTCCAGTCTACTGACTGGCTCGGACAGTGGCTGAGTTGTGGGAATGGGAAGGGAGAGTGAGGTCGACGTCTCAGCGCACTTTCTCCTCACTATAATCAATCTGACGCGCTTGAAGCTATCACGGTGCGCTAAAAGCCGTGGCTTGGAAGGTTGCCAAATGACGGGGTACCTTGGACCTCCTCCTTAACGGGAGGCGGTCTGAGAGTCAGGCTGCAATGGCTCCTTTTTAATGTGGCCTTTATGGCATTCCCACCACAGTGTGGGATCCGAGCCAGGCGTTGGCGGCACGCCCAGGTGCGGCTTCGGCCGTGCCAGCCTCCAAATCTCTGTTGTGTTGGTTGAAATCCTGGTTATTGTTGTGTGGACCAGGGGGTGTGGTGGAACGCCAAGGTGAGGATCCGTCCGAGCCATCCACCTGCGGCCTCCCTCGTCTCCGGTCTTCTTGACTCTGTCTTCACACCGGGCCCAGGCGGGGGAGGAGGAGAGAGTGTAGGTAAATGCAGCGCAAGTCTACCCGCACTATAAACCCCTGCGCAAGTCACCGTCCCTGCTCCCACCTGCTGTGGGGCACACGGTGGACATCGTCGAAATCGACGGTCGAACTGTCAGAATGAGGGCAGACTGCCAAAAGTAGGAATTTGGGAACAGTTGGCAGCTTCGAGGTGAAGACCAGGACTGGGGATACGACAGTCGGCGGGAGTCGGGAGACAAGACTGATTTGTGCTCCGGTATCCACAAGGAAACGTCTGTGAGCCACACTTTCGCAAACATAGAAGGTGTTACTAGGGCTCTAAGAGCCAGACAAAAAGATCACATTTATTTTCTGGCTGACTGGCTTCACTGTTTCCATTTAAAAGAGCAGGCCGAAGAACAGCGACGGGCCTTTTCACCGAAATTGGCGTGATACCAACAAAAACCGGCAGTTCGAGGTAGCGACCGAGAACGACGACGACTGGGTAAGCGGCCGGAAGTAAAACGCGCAAGCCGACATCTACATCGCTAACTGCTCATTCACTGTCGACGAGGATGTGGAGATCTGGGCAACGAAGAGTGACTGGAACCGCTGAGCCTCTATCCCTCTATCCGCCATATAGCCAGTTGTGAGACCGTGAGATTCTGAGAACCGGACACTAAAATCGTTTTAACATCTGAACGCAGTCGCTCTAGAATCATTTCCTTGACCAGTTTCTCGTCAATCCGTATGCCTCCAAGGAGAGAACGCATTCGATGTAGAAGTTCTGAGGGCTTTTGTTTACCCATGATTCCTCCTTAATGAACTGGTGATAGTTCTGTCGGGCAGACGCGGCGTTAAATTTAGGGATTTCTGCCTTCAAAGTGGAATAGAGAGCATCTACCGGGGAATTAAATAGTAGGGACCGAACTTGGGAGTTTCCACTAGCAGGGAGAACATTCACAAGTGTGTGGTATTTTGCAAGCTCCTTGGTAACGTAAGCAGAATGAAGGGCTGACTTGAGGCAGGTGAATTAAAGTCCTCAAGCATGTTGCCAAAATTCGGGCAAGGTAAAGACGGCACAATAGCGAGAAAACTTGCAAGAAAAGAGGCGTCAATGTAAGAAAAATTCCCTAATACATAGTATGTTACAGGTTATTCAAAATGACAAAGAGATAGTCTGCGTTAACGGCTTGGGCCAATAATGACATAAACGACAATGTTCTCACGGATGGACGAGAGCTATCTCACGAGCCCTAAATATTAAGAGCTGTATTCAAAACTGGCTAGTGAATAATATTCATATGCAGAACGTAAAATGACCTGTCAGCAGAGTATGCTAGCGATGCGGAGGTTGTTCAGCCGTATTGTCTCCATCACGTTAAAGCAAACATTTCGGCAAAAGAAAACGGGACCAGATTGTAAGAGATCAATCCGTCTGGTACCACGCCACAGATACGTCTCATGGTGGAAGTGCATGGGTTAGAGGTGACAGTCGGAGATAACGGAGAGGAAAAATACGGGACAGCGGAATGGAGGCTGGAGGAGGTGGAGAGCAGAAGGTAAGGACTACAGGGCTCGTCCGACGGGAAGTCCTGGACGGATGTTTTGAGGTGGTTCACGCTCATAACCCCTCTAAGATTGGCGCATTGAATGCGGAAAATCTTCGTCCCTCGACAGCGGACCTGGAATGGGCTGTCATAAAGCGGCACCGGAGGCCGCCAGACCCCATCACATCTAAGGTAAACGTGAAATCATGTTGCCAAATCCTTCTCGAGATAAGACGGAGAGGCCGAGGACCTGGGCGTAACTGGAGAAAGTGTCCGCATAAACTGCCGGAGGCGGTGCAGGAGGTTGGTGGAATCCTAGACCGCACCAGCCTCTACCTTCCTTCTTAATTCCTTCCTGCTCCTCCCCTTCTCCACAATTTAACTACCGACAAGTCTACCCCTGTTCTAAATCACCTAGCATTCCAATGCTCAAAAACTATATCCCCAAATCCTTTAGGTCTCATGTCCAGCCTTCTCTTGCTGAATCCCCGTACGTCAATAACTCCAGACTAACTGGTACTTATTCTCCAAGCATCATTAATTCACAGCTTACATATCCCCCTCCAAATTTTTTTAAAATACCATCGACAATAACCTTGCTGTTCCAAGCACATAAGATATTATATTATTGAAGGACAGGTCTGTTATAAACAACTTTGCCCAAATCAGCATCATTGCTCTCGAAATGACGCATGATATTATGTGTACGATAGAATCTTAGACCCATTTTCTAATTCATAAGTCTGTCCTTCTTAGAGACGACTTCTATTTTTACCGTCAAGATGGCGCGAGAAGGCGTGGAGGCGATTGTCTTCTTTATCTTAGGTCCTACGTAGATGTCTCCTCATTCACGGGAAACTTCTGCTTTGCATCTGTTATTCCCTCGTCGCAAGGAAAGGCAAATATTGGCTGTACCTACAATCCCCAAATTCTTCAGGCAGTGATAATTCACAACTCTGTATAATCTTTAAATGAATTTTGGAAGCTGCCTGCGATGTCAAAATAGTGACTGGGTATTTTAGCCTTCCTGAAATATACAGGCATTCCAATATCTGTTCACCTCGATTCCAGCCCTTCCAAGATATTTTCAATTTTTTAACTGATCCCAACTGGTGCGCTCTCCAACAACAGATAATCACATCTTAGATCTTATCTTAACTGATGACACTGTCACTTCTTCTTGCTTCAAAAAGGACCTCTTTGACAGTGACCACGTATTAATTCATTGTTCCTTACCACTTGCCTTTTCAAAAAAGACCAGCACGGTTCGGACTTATCTAAACTACGATTGCGTAGATAATGACTTCGTAAATAACTGTATTAGGTCATCGAATTGGTATGGCTTTCTCTTCTGCAGCTATGCAACCATTCCTCGTGATGTCATATCCAATGTTTCAAAGGACATCCTAGAATTCGTGCTGCGTAGATATCTTCAGTCTTATTCTTCAGATTCCCTTGTTCTTTATTTTCTTCGTAGCAGACTAAAAAATTGAGACGGCAGCTGAGTGACGTATCCACTAGTTCCTTATCCGTTCATTTTAGAATCGCAGAGATTTTTTTGAAATGGCCTCAAGGATACGCCAAGCGCGCAACGGGTAAAGGGAATCACATGCTCTCAGTGCGATAACAAAACTGCCCACATCGATGACAGTGACAAGACGGAGTTGTTGAGTGCGTTCTTTTCAAAATTCCTTTCTACTGAGTCCGCATCAGTCCCTTTCTTTCGTTCACTTTCAGAGAGGACGATGAGTAAAATCGATGTCTCCTCAGATCTCATCAAGAAACACTTAAGTCTTTTGAATAATTCACACTGTTCAGGAACGGACCCAATTCCAAATTTGATTATTAAACAGACATTGAAGCATTTTACACTACTTAGTCATTTATCCTCGGTTTATATTTCAAAAGGATTCTTTCCTGAAACATGGAAGACGTCAATTATCCCTCCTGTCTTCAAGTCTGATCTCGATCCGACGTTAATAACTATCGGGTCGTACACAAACACCGTTCCTAGCTAAACTTCTTGAAAGGATTAATTTCAATGAAATTCTTTACTCCTGACTAGCTAATCGGCCTTTTAGCTTTAATAAGCATGGATTTTTTACCTAAAGGAACCCGCGAAAGTTGCCACTTAACCCACCTTAATCTAATCACCTCTCTTCGTAATGAACAGCAATGAGTGTTAGTTATGTACTTTAATCTTAGCAAAGCCATCGACAGGGTGTCCCATGGACGTCTTTTCCTAAAATTGGAAACTCTCGGCATCCAGCGTCCTCTACTCGACTTCATCAAGTCCTATCTATCCAACCGATATCAGAAAGTCGTGGAACGTAATAGCTACTCGACACCTCACCCGATCACGAGTGGCGTTTTTCAAAGTACGGTCCGCTACTCTTCCCTCTTTACTGTAATTATATTGCTAGAGAACTCA